ATCAGGCCGGGCAGACCGTCCTCGCCGTTGCATCCATCCTTGCCGGGAGTACCGGGCGTGCCAGGATTGCCAGCAGAACCCTGAACGCCGGCAACGCCGGGCTGGCCGGGAATACCACGTGATCCGCGCTCGCCCTTCTCACCTCGCAGTCCATATGGGCCGGGATCACCCTTCTGGCCCTTGTCGCCGGGCGGTCCATCCAAGCCAGAGTATCCGGTCACGCCCTTGGGTCCGGTGGGTCCCAGCGGACCCGGCAAGCCACGATTGCCCTTCTCCGCAATGCACTTGGGCACACAGCCCGCATAGCCGGCGGTGCAGTTCTTGGGCAGTTGTCCGCCGCGCTGAACGGTGGCAGAGTCCACGATGTCATAGCTGTCGTCAATGGGGAATGGGGGATCGTTTCTATTGTGGTGCCTGACCGAGTCCTGTATCGATCCGGCCGTGCCAGCGGTCTTCCAGAATTGCTGCAAAAGGGAAGGGAAAGGTAGGGGGAGGCGGGAGAGAGAATCTCGATTAGCCGCTGATCGTGAGTTTCTATGGGTTTCTCTAATCTCTTACAGCGTCGGCACCGACTAACGCTCCAGCGATGACAGCGGCGTACAGCAGCCTGCAAATAAATTAAAGCACCGGAGTTCGTCAGGAGATCAGGAGATCATGAAACCTAGAAGCTATAGGCAATAGCTGTATGTGGCTTAATATATATACTAAGCCTCTTATCAGTATCGTGTTTGTGTTGGGTTCACCTCACCACTCTCTTAGAGTGTGCTCTCTTAAGCAAGCAGTGATTGTGGCCTGAGTCTGTGTGTGTGAGCAAGAGAAATGCTGCATTGCCGATTAAGAGAGCAAAGTCATTGAAGAGAGTAAGAGTGAGAGAGGCAACTTGGCGAATTGAATTTTAAACTAATTTTACATAGAATTTATATTGTGTTTTTTTGTGTGGTTAAATTTTATTTAAATTACAATTTTTATTTTTATTTTATATTGTTTATTTTTTATGAATCAAATATTAATAGGTCTATAATAAAATGTTGACTACATTATTGCAAAGAAAATCAATTAAAAAATTCCAAATAAAATTTGATCAATTTTAACTAGACTCATTTTTTATTTATACCATTTCCTGTATTTTTTTTATGTCTTGACAACATGTTTTAATTTTTCCAAGCTCTAAATAGTTTTTATTTTTTTTTTTCTAAAAACATATTTAATTAAAACAATTTGTGTATATCAGATTATTTATTTATATTTTTAATATATTTAAATTAAAAGTGTATAAAGACAAAACTCTTTAAGTTAAAAACGCACAGCTTAAATTATTGTTAATGGAAACATTTTTATTATTTTTTTATTTAAAAAAGATTGGGTTCTACTTCTATTAAACATATAATTTTTTTTGTAAGTTCTATTTTAAAAATAGTTTAAACAAGTCCAATTTATTCCACTATACTTACAAGACTTTCCTTGTGATTTACTTGGGCTTTAGAATTTTCCAAAGTCAAAATATTTTCTTGTATTGTTTTTTCCACTTAATTTAATATATAACTTAATAAATAAATATACTTACCGCTTCCAGAAGGGCAACATGATGCCCCTGATGCACTTAAGCCTGCACAATTATTAGCTCTGTCGTCGTCGAATTTTATATGTTTATATGTTGCCGTCGTTGGGCCTGGAAAGATGAGCCAGAAAATTTTGGGCACTTTAATTTCGCAGCAGTTTGCAGAAAAATGTAATGACAAAGTTACAAAAGTTTATTCGTGTTCCTATGGGAAAATAACAAATGGTGGGAAAACTTTAACGGATTTTTTTTTTTTTTTAAATTTTTAAAATGTTTTGAAATTTTTTATTTATTTATTTATTTATTGATATCAGGTTTTCGATTTCAACATTTCTTTAATTTTTTTTATTTTCACACGTTACAGTTTGAGAGTCACTGGAGCTCACACCACGATTGGCTGCAGAAAAACTGTCTCTAGCCTTTGGTTCTATATAGTTTTGGGTTTAGTTTTTATTAATGCCTTCTCCTGATGGCTTTTCAATGATTTTTCAGTTTTTAATTATTTTTCCAGCTTTCATTGTTAGCTGCTAGAGGTGAATTCCTTACAGGAAATACCGATCTATCTAAGCGGATCGACGGGAGCGTACTGAACACACGAGCACTGCGCACAGCACAACACACAACACTAAGGAGGCCAGATCAGAAGCGATCCCCCAGGCCCAGACTACTACTTACTCGGGGAGACGGAACACGACTAATTATAGTATAAGTTTAAGCGATCCAAAAGCCAAATGCCGAGACCCGAATGGGCCTGCCGAAGTTCGCCGAGTGCTACCCGAATGATCGTTGGCACTTCGGCTCACGTACGCTGTCCGTGTCGACTGTGTCTGATGTGGGTGCGAGTGTGTGTGTGTGTGGGGGGGGGAGATGGGAGGCAGCATGGGCATGTGGAACGGATGGAGATTGAGCTGGAGCGCGAGTATGTAGCAACAACATTAATCCAAGCAGCTAACATAGTCGCAATGAATGAAACTTGGCGATAAGTATGGATCTAAGTAAGTCGCTGATGCTATAAGCGAGTTGATATGCCACATTCCTACCTCCCTCCCCCCTCCCTGGGAGCACCTTCCAGCTTCTAACTAAGTTCCAACGCCCTGCTTTCAGCTCCCAGCTCCATTAGCTGATAGCCCCCGCCCCGAGATCGGGCACAAGCTTCCGTTTTTCGACCGCCCGCCCTGCGCAACCAGACTTTTTCGACATTTTTTCTTACTTTTGGGGTTCTCAGTCTGGGAAATTCCAAGGCTTCGGTTATCAGGCTCCGTTTTAATGGTACTTGTTCTAATTATAAGTTGCCGTTTTTACTTAATAATTATTTTAATCGCAGTCTTTGATTTACAAATATTCGCATTCCTTTATTTCGTAGCTTTAAGTTATTTGTTATCAAAACTGGTTTTGTAAGTTAATTAAAGATTTATTTTAAAATTTATTTTTAGCATATAGAATACTGTAGGTTTTTAATGTTTAGTTTTACTACTTACCTTTCAAAAATTATACATAGATTACTTCAAAGTTAAATAATTAAAGATTTAAGGTGACAAAATAAACTTTTGTATTCTACTTAAAAAATAAATGCTTACAAACTGAAAAATGCTTTTAAAAGTAGGCAATGCTTTAAGCAAACTAAAAGTCAGGTTCTTTTATTGTCGGGACACATCTTTTTAAAGAAATAATACTATAAAAGGTTTACGTATTTTTTACAATTACCAGGAATAAAAAATATTAAACAAAACAAAATGTAATTCAAAGCTAAAAACCTTCACATTTAAAATTAACAACATTATTTTATAAATATTATATAAAACAAATATTTAATAATTCTGTTTAGGAAGAGTAAATTACTTAAAGAAAATAGTTTTATTTAATACAAAATTGAATATTAAAATATATTGCGAAAGAGTTTTTGTGTTTTAATGCCTAAAAATGTATTATTTCTAAAAAGGATCTAATAAATATATCCCATTTAATAGTAAACACTCTAAATCCTATTCCAAAAGCAAGTAAAAACTCATTTAAAAATTTCCTTGTTTCCGCTTAAGAAATAACTCAGACTAAGAAAATATATAAACTTCCTATGATTACCCCCCAGCCTGACCATGGCTGAACCATTTTCCTTTTCTTAATCTCTGCAGCTTCCTAGATCAATTGGGGCCATTGGGCCATATCCGACTTCCCCATACCCTCTGGCCAAATAGAACACTTCCCCAAGTAGGGCAAGCAACCATAAAACAAAGGCCTTGATTACGGAACTTAGTATCAACGGGGAATTTCAAAACTATGTACTATGTGTGACCCCAAAACCTAAAACCTCAAGCTCGAATTTCGAAAGGTTCTATTTTTGTAATTCTGCGTAGAAATTAATTGAAAAACTCGAAGTCAAGCCAAGCTTGGATTCATGCTGAGATTTTTCTAACAGGAAATACGCAGCCATATCCCTCTTATCAGCAACGCTTATGCCATATACTAAATGAAAAAGCCTTAACCTAATCACGAGAGTCGCAACGACAAACAAGCGAACATCGAATTATTTTTTATGAGAGGTTATTGAGACTGGAATATACCTAAAAAGTATGGTTTTGAAACACGAAAAGAAATAGTGAGAATGTCTTGAGAACATTATAATATTTAAGAGTTTGTGGTAAGAGTTATTACTTAACATCTGAACAAAATTAATAAAAGATTATTTGGAAACTTAAAATAGAAATAATATGTTTTTAAGGAGGATGATAATTATAGTAATTAAAATAATATTTATAGGGTATTGTTTAGAAAACTATTAAAATAAGTAACATCTTTTTAAAGGGGATATAATGTTCAGGCATTTAGAATTAAATTCCGCATTTTATAAAAAATAAAAACTCTTGCTTTGATGCTAAGAAAACAAATTTCAAAAATAAAAAAATATTAATATTTATAATTTTAAATATATATGTTTACAAAACCCTTTAAAATTTTATTTTTTAGTAATAGTTTTTATTTTGTAATTTATCTCCATCGATTTATCGATCTATAGTAAATGTATTTATAAACGTTATACTTGAGACATTTTATAACTTAGCAGGGTTTTCAAATAGTTTCCCTGTCAAAACTAATAATATCTAATGGATTTCTAATTTCTGTTACCTCCAACCCACAATATACCCCAAACCAAAAGTGTTCGAAACGGAACCCAAAATGGGAAGTATAGGAGTCTTGGAAGAACAAGTTGCTCGGGTATTGGGTCAGCTTTGTGATTCGGTTAGCTCATTTCCTCGTTTCAAGGCGGCAAAGTGCTAAATTCATAGCCACCATCCGGGCCTCTGTCCCTGGCCTGGGCCCAGCACACCACCACCTTCTCCCCACTCACACCATGACAGCTCCATTATGTCTTAGTGTTAGTGAGCCGAACGGCGATCGGCTGGCCGAGCGCTTGCCGACCGAGCGGGGCACGAATGTGAATTTCTGGTGGGGCTCGTGTTTAGTAACTTTTCGAACGCTTGACGATCTCCACATGTGGGGAGAGTGCTGTGCCCGACGATCGCAGCAGCAGCAAATCAGCGTTTTCTGTTAGTTTCCACTTTCCAGCGTTTAAATCGGTTTTTAAAGCTCATTTTTAAATATTTCAAAAATTATAAATTAAAGTATATGAAAATGCCTTAACTTAATGCTTATTTCGTTCGCAGTTTCGTGTGTGTGTTGACAGAGAGAGAGAGAGAGGGCGAGGTAGAGAGAGACAGAGACGAACGCCACAGTGAGACATAAATAGTTCCTGCGCAGGACTAAAGGAACCGAAAGAACGATGTTACCCAGAGATCTACGGCATCTCTCGGGTCTGCTGGGCGCCGTTTATTTGCTGGCCGGGGTTGTGTCCTTTGCGGAAGGTGCAAAGGTAAGTCAAGGGGTTCACTTTAATCCTAACAAATTTTATCATTTAAATCGTAAAAAGAACAAGAATAATATTTCCCTTTGTTAGAAATTTTTAAAACATTTATTTCTTAAGAAAATAATTCTAAGTTGTGTTTACTAAAGTGCTTTTCAAACTGTAGACTCCGAAAAAATTATTCCAAGTGCTGCTCAAACTGCAAAAGTAAAAATTAATATTTTTCTTCTCACATATTTATACATCTTAAACATTTTTAAGTGTTTAAAAAATTTTCATAAAAATTAGCTTCCTATCCAATGCTTCTCAAACCGTCTCCCTCGATTTTAGCCTGCACTCACAAAAAAAAATATATATATATCAAATACTATAATAAACAACTAAAATTAGGTCAGCAGCCAAGCTCAGCTCTTAATCATCTTCTCGACAGCAACATCAGCAGTAGCAGCAAGTGTTATTGTTATTCTTGAATAATATTGCACTCTTTCCATTCAAAGCAGCTTCCGGCATAGTTGCAACTCTTTTGCCTTTCCAAAGGGAGATAATCGATGGGGTCTCGAGACCCCAAGACTCCCTGTCCCTGGGTTCTTTATTCCGTTCCGGGACTGGTGGGTTCATTGGAGTCCAGCGACGTTTCGGGGACGGATTATGTCATTCAAATTTATTTTGGCAACTTATGCTTATTTTCGAGTAGGGTAAAGGTGATAGCCTTTCGTGATAACCGAAACCATGATAACCCCGTAATCAAGAGGATTTGTTTTAGCATTTCAACAGATTTGCCATTGAACGTTTCCGGTTGGCAATTCAAATTTTAATTTGATAATTATTTTGATTACATTTAATTAACATTTAATCCTCATCATTGTTTAAAGGCCATTTTTGGTAAAGAAATTATCTCCTACAAGAGCTTAGTGCAGGCAGGGTTTTTATTGAGTTTTCAAGATTATTTATAGAGCTTGAAGGCTTTTATAAATTTAAATTTGATTACTTTAATTTATAAATTTAAGTTGTTAACTCTTAATTCAAAAGTGAACATTTTTAAGTTATAGTTGCTGACTTTTTGGGTTTAAAAATCAAAAGAAAAGACTTTCATTGCGGAAAAGCTAAATCTAAACAAAGAAAACTCAAGCAAAAATGATCGAAAATATATATTTCAACTTTTCAGAGTTCAAATTACTTTTTTTTTATATTTATTGATTTATTTTTTTATAAATAAAAAGCCTTTCTTTATTAGAACAACCCTTGCCTTTGAGCCAGCTCAGAAAAGTATGCAACAGTTTTTGCCACACTCAAATGTTTGCCCAATTTCAACCAAAAACTTTAATTAAACCCAATTATTACCTTTTTTTAACATTAACTTACTTATTTTTTGAAAACTTTATGATGATGCTATTTTGGCTGGAATTTCGTAAGTTGGGAAAATAGAGCACACGCCAGCGATGGCGACAACGGCGGCGCCTACTTTTTGATGGCATTCGCCGAGCTTATCAGGCTCCGAGCCGCTGCTGCTGCTGCTGCTGCCCGCTGATCCTCCACACATTTAATTAGACCTATTTGCTATTGCTATTGCTATGTTGGCGGCATTGACGCCATATTGATAGCATGTTCCGCTGATTGCGACATGAATTCAACTAGATTTCAATTCAAATTCAGAAAATAGAACCGAACGCAAGTGTCGCCAGGGGCTATCTCGGCATGGCCTGACTTTTGGCTTTACTTACGGATCGGCGGCATGGAGTGGATCGGTCGGAATGGTAGTGATTTCCACAATTTTCACAATTTCTGTGTCGCGCATTTTCGCAGCGATCTTCGCTCTTTGCCGCCGCCACACTCACGTGTTTGGCATCATAAAACGCCAAAGCTCGTTTGACAACTTTGGTAATTCGACCCCCCAGTCTTTTTCGCACTCGGTTACGTGGTCAATGCCAGGGTGCTGTGGTCCCCAACTCCGATACCAAAGTGAGAGCTCCCGCTTCTGGTGGGGGTTTGGTGGGTTAACCCGGGGATCTAAGAGCTGTTCGCTGGCAGATCCACAGAAACCGCAAGGCTCTAAAAACTTGATTTCAGTTGCTACTGTTGTTTGAGATACTCTAACGAGGAACAGGGTTTAGGTAAAGTCTATGAAAGGGTCTTGTTTGTAAAATATGGCTAACATGCATGAATATAGTTCTTATTTTCTGATTGAAATTCAAAGAAGAGACATTATTCTATTATTTTTATTCGTAAACCTAGGTATGAATGGTATTTACCATAAAATCATTAAACTAACTTCTTTAAAATGATTTTTGCTTAATATAAAACTTAATAACAGGAACAAAATACTCCAATTTTATTTTTCGGACATTTAAATATAATTTAATTATTTATAATTATATATTTAAAATTATATATTTCAGTTTCTGTAGAGAAAGATGATTTCTCGAAGTTTCTCTTAGAATATTTACATTTTAAGAAATCTTAATACTATTTTTTTATGTATTAAGATTTCTTTAAATATGTATATTCATTTATTAGTGCTTTGGGAAGCGGAAATTTGTATACCCTTGCAGTTTGCCATAGGAATCATGTCATCAAAATGAAACTATAATTTGTATTAATGATCGTGTATATTTAATCAGAGGTAAAAGGGGATTTACATTTTCCAAATGAATTTATTTGTGATAAGCAAGTGACTCAAAGAAATTGCAAGCCATGCAAAATATTATATTATACAATGTATAAAGCTTATTAATAATAGGAAGTGAATGAATGAAATGGTATCAAAATTACTTCCTTTTGCGACATACTGACATGAAATCATCATAAAAGTGCATATATTATAAAATAAAGATAAGTAATTACTAATTACGTATCAACATTTCCGGCAACATTTTTCTATGACTAAAAATGTTAATATAATTTATGGTATAATTTAAATTTTAGTATATGCAAATTGTGATTAATATAAAACTAAATTAAACCTAAAGAGTATTTCAAACAGTTGCCAAACAGTTAACGGATTTCATTCAGTGCTTGTCAAACCCCTCACGCAATGAGTTTTGCAAGCAGTCAACCAACCTTCAGTTTATTGATTTCCTTTTCCGTTCTGCGAAATAACAAAAGAGAGGCGCATTTAAGAGCAGCTTCAATGGAAGAGAGCCAAGTGCATGTGTAGTGGTAACAAAATCAGAGAGTGAGCGAGATTCATTTCTCGACTGCAGCTGAAACCACGATCCCTGGTCCATTCTATGAATGAATTTTGATAAATGGTCTTTATCAGCAGCGACTGTGCTCGTTCGGCCTCACCACCCCAATATATGTACATATTCCCCTCCCTCCCCCCTGCACTTGCCCCCTGAATGGCTATATATGGAAAGTGTGTGTGCAAGTGTGCGACTGAGTGCCGATCGATGCCGACAATTAGCAGCTCAAGTGATCGGTGAAGGGTTCTCTTAGAGACAGAGAGGGAGAAAGAGAGAGAGCGGAAGAGGGGGGTTTGGGGTTGCGGCAATCTTTTGACGTTCTGCAACATTTCAAATTGGAATTAAAACTCGCTCCCTGTTGTTTGTTGTTGTTGCCGCCTGCTAAATGCGAGCACGGCTTCTGCTTAGGAACTTTCCTTGTGCACTGAGATAAAAGTCTTAGTGAAAAAAATTAGTGGCGGATGAGAAAAAATATAAATGTTGTTTATAGCAATAATATTTATTTTAATAATAATAATATTTATTTTATTAAAAACAAATATTAAAAAACAAATATTATATTTAATATATTTAAATGTAACACTAACGATTTTTTCTTAGAAAATACCTGTAAAAAGATCCTAGTATTCCCAAAACAAGCATTTTTCCAAGAAGAACCTACCTCTTATTTTTCCCAGTGCTCGTTTTCCATTCCCCTTTTGTGGGCCTCAGTTTTCTGTTTATGTGCTGCGATCCTGGGACTGATCTGAACTGACCCGAACCGCTGGCATAAATCACTGACCATTCGGATGGGCCAGACAGAGCGGGGCCAACTTCGGGGGATTCAGTATAGAATATTCAGAATATCCAGAGTATTATTGGGGATTCAAATGGCTGGACCGCCCAGGAACAACAAGAACGGCCAGTACTGTGGGCACAACAATGATCATCATCTCATTGTTGGCACGGCTCGGGCCCTCCTCTTGTGGAAGTTTATTTGCGTGCTTGAGTAGAATTGTTTGGCGAGTTGCATTTCAATTTGACTCAATTATTTATTTATCTGCAACTGAATGCGGAAATTATGCAAAGACGTCTCTCTCTGTCCGAGTGTGTGTGTGTGTGTGTGTGTGTGAGATAGGGACAACATGTCGTATGAGTGATATGGACGAGGGGCCACTTAGTAGTGCAGCCTCTGTAATGAATTTTGTAAATTGAAACGATTATTTATGAGGCAGAGTGCTGCCGAAGGAACACATGAAATTGGGTTATCAGTCATCTGTCTCATAACTGCAGCTCGTTGTTCTCCTTTTTTGTTGTTTCTTTTTTTTTTTTTTTCCCTTGTTATCAGCTTTGGCTGGGCTTTCGGAATTGATATTCATATTCATTAGAGCTGTACATACTATATATTTAGACACTATATATAATGTAGACACGCTGCTGAGATTTCAAGCGGCAAACATCTAGCGTCACAGCTAAAAATAAACTGGCTTAATTTGCCCAGAGTCCAGGTCCAGGCAGGCAAGACTTTTGCACAATCGAGTCCAGTTTGTGCCTCTTGATTGCCTAAATTATTTCGCCAACTATTTGAGAAAGTCAATCAATGGGTTAATGATTAGAAAGCGATATATAACAGGACAGAGTTTGATTGGAAATCGATCTATAAATGGTCCATATTTTAATGGAAAGTGGCCAAGAAATTGGATAAAATTATATAAGGTTTATTTAAGGGTTCTTAGGAAGACTTTTATCTTTTGAAATAAAGGAAAGCAATTTTAAAAAATCTCACTAAGTTTTATTTAGCTAAAAAAAGTAGTAGAAATATAGATCCTTGCCAACAATAACCCCACT